AATAAGAACACAACTAAATCACTCAGATGCTGATAGCTCATAAATGCCTTCCCACAACTCCCCCATGTGTCCAGAAAAAAAGCAGAATTTCTCCTATGCTCACTGGGAAACAGGCAGTTCAATATCCACCAACATAAGACACTAAGATACAACTTGGAAGTCCTAGCAACATAAAAAGAGCATGCTGCACCGGTGACAAGAAACTATTTATCACAGATTTGCAATGATATTCAGCATTTCATCAGCCTAGCCAAAGCAAGGTCACTCTTAAATCTTAAATCCAAGCTTGTCAGAGACCTCAAGAGTTCTCCTTTGTGTTTGCTATTGCTCTTTCCTTTTTTTTTTTTTTAATGACCCTTAGGTAGAAGGAGAGGTTAAATTAGTTATTTCCACTCCTCTACGAACATCATTATGTATGGATAATTAAGTACTGATTAATATACCTGCATGCATCTTCATCACGTGCAACAAAGCATGCTGCAAAAAGCTGCCAATAATATTACCCACCTTAAGCACCACTTCACACACATCAAAATTCATGACAGCACCAGTGAGTGAAGAGATGCCTTAAGCCAGGAGTGTTGGGAAAATGCTGAGATTCACTTTCAAAAAAAGAATTCTTAAAAGTCAAGGTACATATATCCAATCTCAAGTAGACACCATATACCAGAAACTAAATTCTAGCTTTCCCTAATTACTAACAGAAAGAAAACAAAATAAATGGTGTGGCTTTTTCTTCTTATACTATTTAAACAGTATTCAAACTGACCTGCTGGACCATTGGTTTTATGAAGGTGATATTTATGCAGCGCAAGCAAAGAAAGCAGAGAAAACACTAGAAGTTATCTATTACCAAAACCTGATCAAGAATGTTTCTGGGCCTATTAGGCCAAACTTCTGAGAACGTGTCTGCTTTAACCACACTGACATAACCTACCAAAAGCTATGAAGAAGCCCAAGACAGACTCTGCAGAACATTTCACAGTGCAGCAGCACTACTGATTGCTTTTGATTGCATTTCCTTCACATAATTTTAAGAACAATATAAACAACAACAGAAAATATTTTTTTTAAGAAAACAGAGATTTTACTAAACCTTCTCAAATAAACCATACAAATTATGCTGCACCATTTTTCACAAGTTGATTTTATGATTCATACTTAGCTGTGAGCTAACGTTACAGTTGGTTCTTTTAATCTATACCTTTATATCTAAAGACTATTACAACAGAATATGTGGAGTGCCTGCACAGTACACAGGCACAAGGCCTTGTGTAATTCTGAAAGAGTTCAAACTCATGTATCCCGTAAAAATACTCCAATCTTAGACCAAACATACAAACCCCTAATTATTTCTGAAGTGCAGATTAATGAAATTTCCAAAATTATTACTATTTAATACCTATGTGGCTTAAAACCAGATAACTTTACAGATAAATGTAAAATGTTAGCTTCAAGATCTGTGTAAGATTAATGAGACCAGATGCACTGCACATAAATGAAATGTGAATTGTTGGGTTCTTTTCAGTCCTTTCCAGTTTGCACTGCTCTCACAGTAACTTCTTTAAGAATCATGAATCTGCCCTTTCCACACAGATATTAATGCCGGCCTAGAAGGAAAAATACACAAATGAAGAACCCTATTTTTCAATAAATAAACATATTGGCAGTATATAAAAACTCTAGAAATGTGAACATAGGTAAAACAGACCTTCTTTAAACTTAAAAGTCTGTTTTTCATTTAACACAGAACTATGGCAAATCATTCACAATTACATTCAGACTTTTACCAAAATTGTCCTACTGGATATTTTAGAGATGTGTATTGGCATTATCACTATATTTCTATCCAGCATTATTAATCTTTCTTTAAAGATTTACCTGCACTGCTACACACCAAAGACATGCACTTCTACCGACTAATAGTGAGGTGCGCTTCCTAGTGCCTAGAAATGTTGAAGGTGCCCATTTTTCTCTCAAAAAAAAGTTAACAGGAATTTCTGAAATACATTTCATGAACTTTCTTCCATACATCTAGAGGACTGCACCTCAAATTTTTCTATGATTTTTAAGGCACAACTGCCTGCCTGGAATTAAACAGTGAAAACAACCCTAACAACTGGTTAATTAATTATTTTGAGTTAGTTCTGTGCCAACACCATTTAGTTCAGAAAACAAAGACGCCTTGAAAGCATGCCAACAATTAAATCTGAAATATCTCGGTAGCTTACAAGAATTTACGAAGAAAAACCTAAATTCTTTGGTGCATCCCACTCCTAACCATATAAATAACAGGATGGCTTCTGATCATGCAAACCACCCTGCTTTTTTTCTCACGGTTAAGCCACAAGTACAACCTACCGAAGTTTCCCATAGTTTGATGTTACTTTTTGACAGTGTGTGGAAGAGCAGCATTTAGCGCTAACTTCTTTGTTAATAAACCTACATATTGATGCACACAAAGGCAGAGCCCAGATAAATCAGAGAGGTGCCAAATGAAACAGAGGAAACAAGTCTTTATCAGTTGTTCCACCCACAGTTCTCTAGAAACACCCTCCCAAGTCCACCCTTCCCGAAACTCTTTCTCTGTACAAAGTCGAAACTATTTTCCCTGCCATGATTTGATCAATTAAGCATTACCAGGCGCAGTGCAGAAACTGCCCAGTTCCTAATGCCGAGAAACAATTCCTAACGGGAGCCGATACAGTTACACGTCCCCATAAACACAGGCGAGTTTTGTCCCGGCCTGGGAGAGCGGAGACCCTCCTGGAAGGCACGGTCACACTTCGGGAAGAACCCGGGCTCCTCTTTTATTTCCTTAAGCCGAACTTTCCGCCTGCCCGTCCTTCCTGGTTTCGGGGAGAGAGAAGCGAGGGCGACGGCAGGGAGCTGGGAAGCGGCCACCGGGACCGAGCGGGAAGTCCTGAGGGACGGAAGCGGAGCCGGGAGGGGAAAACAAACACAGCCGAGCGCGGAGAGAAGGACCCGAGGGAGAGGCAGAGCGGAGGGCAACTGAGCCGGTCCTCGGCGGGGAAAGTCCCGGGGAAGGCGCGGGGACGCCAGGCCGGCCCCGGGCGGCGGGGGAGAGGCCCGGGCAGGCTGGAGCGGCGGGCGGAACGGGGAGCTCGGCTGGCGGCCCAGCCGCGGCCCTGGCACCGGGGCGCCCCGGAGAGCGGGGCCCGCCGCCCCCGGCCCCGAGCGCCGGGGGGGAGAGAGAAAGAGAGAAGAAAGAGGTAGAGAGGAAGGGAGACGGCCCCAAACCAGGGCCCCGCGAGGCCGGGCGGCTCCTCACCTCCAGCGCCCGCCGCGCAGGAGCACAGCAGGATTATCGTCCCCGCCAGATCCATCTCCGCCGGGCGCAGGCCCCGCCGCCGCCGCCGCCTACCCACGGCACATCCGCCCCAGACCGGCGCCGGGCGGGATGGGGAGGGGCGAGCTGGGCGCCTCCCTCTGCTTTGTCCCCCGCCGCTCCGGAGGACTGTTCCCGCCCACGGAACGGCCGCGGAACGGCCGCAGATCGGCCGGGATCGACGGCTCTCCCGGCAGCGCTGCCCCCCCCTCCCTCCGCTCCGCGCGCCGCCGCTCCCTCCGCCCGCGCGCGCGCCAGACGCCGCCGGCGGGGCGGGGCCGCGAGACACGCCCAGAGCGCGCGGAACGCCCCGCCCCGCCCCGCGCGCAAGGGGGCGGGACTCGGCGGAAGGGGCGGGTCCCCATGGACACGCCCAGGGGCGGAGCCGCACGAGGGGCGGGGCCTCTCCCGCCGCTTCCGGCGCGCCCGGGGCCGGCGCTAGGAGCCTTCGCCACGCCCGGTGCGGGCGCACTGAGCGGGGCTGTGCTTTGTCCCTCGCCGGATACGTGGCTACCCCTTGCACAGAACTAATTTACTTTTGGAGTTTTGCTCTGGTTTCCTTCATCCCCTTACCAGACACACATTTTTTCCTTGCACAAGCTAATTTACTTACTTTTAGAGTTTTGTTTTAGGTCACCTACTTCTCCCAATGCTCTACATGTTGTGAAGCGCTGCAGTGTCCCCGCTGAGCAGGGACTTGTCATTCTGAGACTCTCTCTTCACAATTCAAGGGTACAGGAAAATCCTTCCATAGAAATACAAATGTGAGACATCTGAACAAAATGTTTCCTCTCTTATGCTGATTCTTCTACCAACTGTGCCATCTCAAAGATTTATTATTTATATTAGAGTTTGTGCCAAGTTTCTCAGTTTACTGTCAGCCCTTTATATTTGTGCTTTTCCATTCCTATTGTCGTGTCAGAATAAAAAACAACTTCCATCTGTCACTGATACGGGTGAGAGAAGGTGTTATGGAAATGCACACAGAATGTAAAATTACAGTCAATGTACCTCAGGTAAGGCTGCAGAAGCTGATGCAAGTATTTACAGATTTCAAATTAGAGAGCTGCTGAGAATAAAATGAGAGGATAAAACCTTATCATCCCAAGACTACTTAAAATTTGTGATTAAAAGCTGAAGATTTCTGTAGGGAGAGGAGAGGTTCATTGGGGTAAAGCCTGAGTAATACACTCACATTAATTCTTACAGAATCACACAATGTTAAGGTGTTGGAAGGATCTTAAGGAGCATTTAGTTCCAGCCCCCTGCCATGGACAGGGACGCCTCCCACTAGACCAGGCTGCTCAAGACCTTATCCAGCCTGGACTTGAAAGCTTCCAGGGATGGGGCAGCTGCAGCCTCTCTATGCAACCTGTGCCAGTGCCTCACCACCCTCACAGTAAAGAATATTTTCCTAATACCTAACCTAAACTTCCTCTCTTTCAATGAGCCTATACAATCAAATTGTTCAAGTTATCTATTATACTCGCCACAGCCGTGTTTTTTATAGTACGACTGTCTAAGAAACTGCAAGGAAGAGCACCGAGCAGCCCCGAGAGAGCCGGACTCACCTGTTTCCCTCCCCTTCCCGCTGCCCGCCCCGCCCCGGGGCCCCCCCGCCCCGGGCCCGCCGTGACCCGCGGCCGCTCCCCCCCCGCCCGCACGTCCCCGGCAGGGCGGAGCTGGCGCCGCTGCTGTGATGGCGTCGCGGGCGTTGCGGGCGGAGGCGCAGCCGCTGCGGTGCCAATAGAGAGCGGAGCGGCCGGGCCGGGCATGGAGAGCCTGGCGCAGCCCCCGCCGCCCCCGGGCTCGCTGCAGACGGGCGGCGGGGGCGCTGCCAGCCGGCTCCGCCTGGGAGAGGCGGCGGCGGACGAGGGCGGCTGCAGGGAGGCCGAGGAGGGCGGCGGGCGGCGCAGCCCTTCCCCTCCGCCGGCCCCCGCTCCCGCCGCGGCCCCTCAGACCGCGTCCCCCTCCCGGGCCGCGGAGGGTGCTGCGGCCGCGGAAGGCGCGGGGCTGGCGGTGCCGGAGAGTCCCGGAGCGGCGCCCGCCTCGGAGAGCGCTCCCGCGGGAGCCGGCTCCGGGAGCAGCGGCGCTCCCAGCCCGCCGGGGGAGGAGTCCCGCAGCCTGGACTCGCTGGAGTCCTTCTCCAACCTGCACTCCTGCTGCCCGAGCAGCTCCGAGCTCAACAGCGACGCCGACGAGGCGGTGGTGGCGGGGGCCTCCTCGGGGGGCCCGGCCCCGGAGCCCGAAGGGGACAGGCCGGCGGCGGGCTCGCAGCTCCTCTCTGCTTCCAAGGAACGCTTCCCGGGCCAGTCGGTCTATCACATCAAGTGGGTCCGCTGGAAGGAGGAAAACACGCCCGTCATCACCCAGAACGAGAACGGCCCCTGCCCGTTGCTGGCCATCATGAACGTGCTGCTCCTGGCCTGGAAGGTACCGGGCGGGCGGGCGCCATGGCGAGGCCGGGCGGGCGGGGCCGCTCGGCGGCTCGTGTGGCGCCGGCAGCGCTCGGGGCTCCCGAGCCATCGCGGCGTGAGGGCACCGCGGGAAGTTTGCGCTGTTTAGGACAAGGACGTTTTCGAGAACGCTGGAGAGGAACTTCTGACAAGGGCATGTGGTGATAGGACAAGGGAATGCCTTTAAACTAGCAGAGAGCGAGTTTAGATACGAGGAACAAATTCTTCCCCGTGAGGGTGATGAGGCACTGGCACAGGTTGCTCAGGGAGCCTGAGCCTGTCCCATCCCTACCAGTGTCCAAGGCCAGGTTTGTTGGGTCTCTGCGCTACGTGGACGCTACGTGAAAAGTGTCGGTATTGGAGGCAGAGGGTCTGGAACTTGATGGATCTTTCAGGTCTCTTTCAACCCAAACCATTCCGTGATTCTTTCAAGAAATATTTCAGGCTTATTTCTGCTGTTAAGCACATGTCTCACATACAGAAGAACTTGGAAAACAAATACTGCCGTGCAGTATGTTGCCAATATACTATGTAGATGCTGCTGTCATATATAGACTGACTTTGTTGTTGTCTTAAAACAGAAATAGCTAGATGGTGTTTACTAACCTAAACAATATATAATATATAAAAGCTTACTGATGTGTACAGGTTTCTAGTAAGTAAAGATTACTATTTATAGCACTGAGCACATAAGTGATATTTTTGGAAAATAGGTTAGTTTCTTATAATAAAGTGTATGCAGAATTGTACAAAATGCAGAATTGTACAAAATATTGATTTGTAGGAGTAACTGCCTAATAGGGACACATTCATACAGTTAAGCAGTACAGATTTTATTTAAATTAATGAATAATTCAGGTAGTGATCAAGTACAGCTCTGAGACCTGGAAGTTCTTGTGCTCTGTAGCCATTGTGGATGTGGGCTTCCCATAGTCTTAAAATAATTTTTTCCCCAGTCTTTTAAGTAATTAAAATCTAGTTATTAACATACCTCTGTAAAAGGAGCGTCTGTTGGAGGAAAGCTGTAAGGTTGTGTGCGTTGCAAAACAGGGATGAGGGGCACGTCTCAGGAAATGCTGGCAATCCAGCCCCAGAAGACTGAAGAGCTGATAGAAGAGAGTCCTGAAATAGGAAAGCTTCACAGGAATAGCTTTTATGTTGTAGTAGCAAGGGGAAGAAATTGGTATTGGAAGAGTAAGAGGTTGTTTGCAGTGTGACAGGTGACTTAGGAAAAGGTCAAAATGAGAATATGGTATGAGAAGAAATCTGCAGGTAGAAATTTGTTTAGATGCAGAAGATTAATGCTTTTGGTTGAGTTACAATTTCTACACATTTTTGTGAGCAGAATAGCTCAGACGTCAGGAGGAAAACTCTGGGTACAGTGATGCTGGTATTTTAGCATCAGTAAAAGCAGTAGAGGGAAGTTGTGTGTGACTAAGAATAGCTCAGGAGGAAAAAGAATAGACGTCAGGAGGAAAACTCTAGGTACAGTGATGCTGGTATTTTAGCATCAGTAAAAGCAGTAGAGGGAAGTTGTGTGTGACTTTTAGGTATTGCCTTATGTAGGTTCTGCTATCCTCAGGAGGGTGTGAATGTTGCCACAGGCTTCAGCATTGAACACTTGCTTTCTGTGCTCCCTCTTTGGCATCTAGGGGTGACTTGAAAAACTTGCCATTCCTTAGCATTTGGGAGGGGGCATTTTAAAAGAAACTGTTAGTTACAGGATCTTCCTTTTTAGTCTTTGACTTAATGGAAGATGTAAATGGGACAGCACTGGTCCTGTTGTTTGAATTCAAGTTTTTGGAGGTTTTGTTCCTTAACATTTTTCCTTTTCCCTCTGCTGGTGCTCTCCAACCAGAATTTTAACTGACATTCTGCTGGGATCAAATACTACATTAGTGAGAATTAAGGTAATACCCAGTTCTATAAATAGGCAAAAACCAAAATACCCCTTGGGAATGCCCTACTGTTTCTTATTGCTCAGATTACAGGAAGTTTTCTATAGTTCTGTCTGTGTAAAACCTCAGCAGAATTTACATGAGTTGCAGACAGGCAGCTAAACTGGTGAAACTGTCATCACAAGTTATTACTTATAGGCTTGAAGGTTTTCCTGTTATTTGTTTATATATTGTAGTTGCTTGTAATTGATTTTCCTAATTACTGCCTCTACAAATTGGCCTTTCTTTTCCCCAGTTCATAGTCAAGAACCACGTTCACAGTGGTTGGGGTGGCAGCTCATCTGTACATCACTGACAGCAGCTTGCTGCGTGTGAAGGCTGAGGATGGACATCCACCTTCTCACTCCTCCTGAACCAGCATGAACACTAGATTGGGTCAAGTAATTATAACTTGGGAACAAGAAGGCAGACTGAGAGATGAAAATAGGCAAAAGTAGAATGAGAATACCATAGTACATATTAGGTGAAAAGAAGCTGTAATGGGGGAAAATAGAGCATAAGAAGGAGATGCGGAGGAAAAGTAGAATCACAACAGGGAATAACAAGTTAAACAGTTACACTTTGGGTTCTATTCCCTGTATCAGCCATCATTTTTCCTTTTTAGAACTTTTTCCTGACAGGGTTGAGAGTTCTGGTCATCCTGTGGATAGACCTGGTCTCAGCCAGCTTAAGTGCAGTACTGGTTTGGCAGTTAGGGTTTTGAAAATTCTGAAATAGTAGCACCCACTGTGACTGTTCAAATTCCATTTTGAAAATACCAGGTTTTGGAACTAAGCTTGTGATAAAACTGCTACCTGTCTTTTATCCACTATTTTCAAAGGATACATAAAACTTTGAGGTGGCAGATTGCAGAAGCTGTATTTTAAATATTAAAATTATGAAATTACTTTTCTTTTGAAGTGTTTTTGCAGTCTGCCTAAGTGTAACTTGCAGTTTAGCCTATAGGAGGGAGAGCCAAGGAGCTCTGCTACAGGAGTGTTAGAGAAATGTTCTAAGAAGAAAAACAAAAGCACTATGATATCAACTTGGAGAAGTAGCTGTTGTGCAGAACAGCTGTTGTGCAAAACAGTGTTGTAACCACTTAGACTTGTGTGATGAAAATGAAGCAGAAGTAGAGACTGAAACAAGCTTTTTTAAATGTATGTACAAGCATGAGTTTTGTTCTCTGATGTAGAATTGTGTAGCACACTGTTTTTCAGCTTATTTAAATCTGGAGATTGCTCAGTTTTAGCTCAGGCCTGTTGCTCACTATGTGGTTAAGCTTAGCAATGCAAAGTTGGCTTTTCTAAGTGCCTTTTGTGATCTTTGTTAGATGTAGTACATGCAACACTTTCTGATAACTTCTGGCATTTCATTAAATGTAATTTGGGGCAGGGGGGATGTGGCAATCATCAGATGCTAAAAGCTTAGTGAGGGTGCCATGTGATTCTGCTCTGTGCTTAGGTGGGATGTGATTTCTTGTACCTGAAGAACTCTGTGAACCTTAACATGTTGCACAGAAATTACATATCTGAAATGTCCAGGGAAGATTGTGAAACATAAAATAAGCAGAGGGAAAACATTATACAATTAGAATATAAGTCATATTAATATTGTCTTGAAAAGTGAACGCATGTGGAATATCTTGTCCTTATGTAGGAGAACAGTGATATTGCATATTTGAAAATGTCTTTGCAAGTTTTTTGTATCATAATCCTCTCAACAAATGGAAGGAGCTGTGTTCCCTACACACATAGTTCTACTAAAATTTTGGAAACTTTTAGGACTGTATAAATTACCTATTTAGGTATCATAACAATTATGTAAGTAAATGTTATATAACCATTTTCTTGCTTAGATGTATCCAAACTGACGTGCAGAGAAGAGGTAGAGTGAAAAATTCTGCTTAGAAATTCTTGATGTTAGGTTTTCCTTGAGATGGCCCTTTTGAGAGTAGCTGAGCAGAGTGAGCTCCCGCTGATCCCCACTCCCTTGGTCAGAGGCTGCAGTGGTGGTGCCAGCTCTGGGGGCTGGCACTGGCCCTTCACACGTGATGTGCTGTCCCTGTCGCGCTCTGCCCGTCCGTATGGCCGGAGTTGGCACAGATTGCTCAGCGGGGCTTGGCAGCCTCCCTTCCTCCAGCACCTGTGGGATGAGCTGAGCCCGCAGGTGCCAGCCTGGAGCCGTGCCAGGCACAGCAACAAGCCCACTCCCAGGGGCTGGAGGCTACCTGGCTGAGGGGCAGGCGCTGAGGACGTGGAGTGGCAGCACACGCTGTTGTGTCACAGGTTCATGAAGCTGTTCCTGCCAGGCCAGGGGCACTTATTTGCAGAGAATATTAATTGTTTTTTGTCAAAGCTGCTTGAAGCTACCCATACCACTCTGGAACACTGTGTTCAGAGGAGTTGCATGTTTTAGATAAACATGTTTTGAGACTATAAGTCTTATATAAGACTTATTATATAAGCCATTAGAAATTTTCTTGGACCCTTTTGATATTCAGTATTTTCAGAAGTGTTATCCTTTGTGCATGAATATATAACTTAATTTTTTTAAGCCCTTTTGTAGTGTGGAAGAATATGGTGGAAAATCAGTATTATATAGTTTTGGGGTTTATAGTCTAATTCATAGAAACTGTGTAAGTTTTATTAGACAGTCTGTTCCATATGAAAATTTGTTTACCACTGTTGTCTTTTAATTAAAATACGTCTCAACTGTTTGTCATGCTGTAATTGTGTGAGAAGGACTAAGTTTCCCGCTCCTGAGTGTAGGAAGTAAAATGTAGCTAGAGTTAGAAAGAGCCATCAGGGCAAAGGACCAGGAAACTGGAGTAGAGGGATACAGGAAATGGGTGGGAGTTGAGGAAATGCATTTTTCCTAAAATGTGGAATTGATGTAAAATCTAGCAACTAAACATTGAAACCTATCACAAAAATATGTCCCTCAAATTAACAGATTGTTATGGACAACAGCAGCTTCTACTACTGTTGCTTACATTGTTTTCTCCTGTTGATTTATCTGGACAATGACTGTGGTTCTGTATAATGTTTTCTCTCCCTTAATTCTTAAGGTATTTTTCTCTCCCATTTCCTCTTTGCTGTGCATTTCCTGTCGCTTAAGTGCTTGCAATGAAGCTCTGAACAGCTGGGAAATGTCATGTTCTCTGTATATCCTTAAGTCAGCTCTGTGCAGAAGTACTTGGAACTGTGTTGGAACCCCATTAGCCCACTTCAAAGGTGTGATCAAGGTCCTACTACACATGCCAGCCCTAAATTACTCCATGAAGTAACCAATTAACTTTGCTTAGCATTTAATCAAGCAGTTAATTTTGAGATGTAGCTTGCTAAAATACCCAGCTTTGAGAGATCCTGAAAATATGAGTAAAACCACTTTGCTTTTTCTGCAGTAAAAAAATAAATAGTTAGCTTTACAGTTGTGAGGGATAGTTCCATTTGTTAACCAGTGATATGAATAATATGTTGTGCTATTTTAAGCTCTATACATAGAGCTTAAATAGAGGTAAGCTTGTAATTGTGCTTTAGAGTTGGTGTTTGTCATGTAAACATGCTTCTGGAGGTTCCAAATGTGGTGCAGAGCAGAACCCTCCAAGCAGTGCTGGCTGATCTGATACAAATAGTTTAAATAAATAATAAAAAGAGCTAACTTCAGTCCTGAAAGAATCATCACAGGAGCCCAGTTAACAGTCGAGGGAATGGTGCTGATTTTCCTTCATATTGTACTGGCACCGCTGTGCTGTAGCAGATGTGCAGCAGTGCTGTAGCACTTGAGGCAGGGCTGGTGGAGGTGATGCTGTTCTGTGCCTTAGGAGCGATGATGAGCTCAGGGGTGTGCACAGCTGGTGTTTGCTAAGACTTGAATGCTGCCAGTCCCCACTGGGAGTTTAAGAAGCAGCTTTTTGAACTTGTAGTCCTATTGTTTTGATGGCTCAATACACTGTATTTATGTGAATATTCAGTATGAATATTGTGAAAAGATCAAAGAGTATGAAAGCATTTAGCCTGTTGAGCATTAGTTTCTGGGAGAGTTCTGTAAGTTACAACCAGTTGTCATTCATTTAATATTTTCAAAAAAACCATGTACCCATGCATGCCTGATTTTTTTCTTTAATTCCTTTCCCAGATTCCATTACTACCAGCTTCTTTATAAGCTCATCATCTCTGGGTTAATCAATTTGTGGCATATGTTAACTTTAACCCAAGTAGGGACATATTTCTTAGAGTATAAATAAGAAAACCATATTAACTTGAGTCTCTTTCTTCAAGTTTCTTGTGAATTTATATATTTAATACATTTACCTTTTGTCAAATATAACTAAAATTGATAAGACAGATGTAGCCTACCTCATTTTCCCTGTAAAGGGAAATATTATTAAAATAGCTCAGTTTTCATACTGAAAACCCTCTCCATCACAATGTGAACAAAGTGGTGTGTTGCTATACTGTATATTTGAGTTTGGGGTGCTGCATCAAAGGTTTTATGTAGATTGCTTTTCCATCTCCTGGTTTTCTACTTCCTTCTCCACAACCAGAAAAGTAGGTGGAACCTATTAAGTCTCAACCATGAGTTAACAGTCTCACGTCATGTCTTTCTATATGTGTTAAGGACAGCAGTGATCAGTATTGAGGAACTTGATTTAAAAATTCCTGATATAATAAATACCTGTTGTAGACTTTGAGTGGTGAGATGGTGGAGGGAGATAGGATGAGAAAATTAAAAACTGAAGAGAGCTTAGAGCTTAAAAATCAATCCCCAAGACAAACCAACCCAAAACCCTAGAAAAATAAAATTCACATTTATACAGAGAAAAATTGAGTGCACTGTGTTTGAGATCTATATCCTCCTGTGGTATTTTTTCAGATTGCCAGAAGCATGTCCTTGTATGTGTTTGTGCTTTGCCTGTTGCATTTCTTCCTGCAGTACATAGAAGTGTTCAACCAAAGTGTGTACCCGGGATGCTGGAAGGGATGAGAATGCAGGAAGCTTTTAGCTCTGCCAAGGTGGTTGGTTTTAGCACATGATGATGGTGGGAATAGATCAGGGAAGAGGAAAATAGAATATTCACCACAGAGTTCTGTGTGTCTGGTCTGCTCTGTGTGGGGTTAAACCAAATGGTTAAACCTTGGAATGTGAACATGGGATGAGAGGCTGGGAGGTCATTTCCTTGTACCTGCACAAGTCTTTGGCTTCCCTGTCCCAGCAGCTACTGACACTGGGTCCTTTAGAGACTTTGTACACAGGAACTTTTTGAGCTAATACTCAAAACGAATACTCTGAATGCTCAATGCTCAGTTAAGAATTTTCATGAAGGTAGGGAGTCAGAGACTTGAGAGGAAGTTTTCCTAACAGTTCCCAGTCTGTTAATTCTGAGTGCTTGTAGTTAAGCCACTGCAGCGAGTGGTGTGGGTGCCTGTGAAGTGGAGGGGGTGCTGGAGAAATGTTTTGGTGGGAGAAGGGAGCAGTATCAGGTGTGCACCTGGAAGTAAGTGCTGTGTTCATGTGGTTTCTCTAAAAACCAAAGTGCCTTTTTAATCTCTTCATGTGGCTGCTATTTAGTAGAGGTCCAGTACGCCAATGACCTTATAAACTGGTGAGGGAAATGTAATCAGAAGTCTTCTGTCTAGAAATGCCATGCTTTTTAGATTGTGGTGTTATAAAGAGAATATACTTTTACTTTGACAGATTAAACTGCCACCGATGATGGAAATCATAACGGCTGAACAGCTGATGGAATACTTAGGTTAGTAATTGCAATAAATTGCTTTCACTTGCATGTTGTACTTTGTAGTGTGTAGCAACATAGAACTGGTTTATGTATTTACTGCTTTATTCAGCTTTTTATTTGATTCCAGAAAACTACTCACAGTATTCAGTTACTCATGCTTTTCCGTAACTGTTTTTAGAAGTTTTCTGCACTGCTTTCCAAAGTGATTGGTCTAGTTGATGCAATTGGTATGGCTCAGTGCACCAACACATTGACAGTTTTAAAATTATTCATGTCTCTTACAGTGTTGTTTTATTGTAGCTGACAGAATATAGTAATTCAACTCTGTCTTTAATTGTCTATAGTAACTCTAATCCTTGGAAGTCTGTCCCAATGAAAATAAAAAGAAAAATTGTGGTCCTCACAGTGATTGGGGTCTCATTTGCAGGCACTTCTCTGGTATCATATTCAGTGTTCAGCAAAACTGCAGCTCTTTGTATCTGACAGGGCTGGAACTTTAATAGCCCCGATGATCCAGGTGTTAAAAGTGCAGTTGTGATAGTATTTAAGCTGTATGTACCACTTTTCCTTCCCTTGTAGCTTGACAAATATAAAATGTTTGAACTTAATAGACTAGGTTTGATTTTTTTCTTAAGCAGGAGAAAAAAACCCTTATGATATTTTCTTTCTTTTTGCTTGTAAAGAACGTAGCTTGTTCTTTTCAGAAGTAAATTGCTGAGTCTTCTGGTTGAAGAAAAGAGTTACCTACATAATTTTCTCCAAAAACTAAGAAACCTTGCTCCCTGTGTCTAAGCATTTCTTATAATTGCATTGATGACACAATACTGTCTGAAGTCACTACATAATCCCTGTTGTCTAGATGTGTATTCTTTCTTGAAGGCATGTATTAACTTCTGGAATTATTTTACTAAATTGAGTAATAAAATTGTGTTCAGGTTATTTAGGTTCCTGTTCACTCAACAGGATTAGCCATTCTTCTGCAGCTGAAAAAAAAACCAAACCCAACAAAACAGCCTTCAACAACTTTCAAGAGTATAAATTAGGAAACTTATAGTGATACTTTCCTGAGTTTAGTAATGGAGCAAGGGAAGAAGTACAAAAACATTGAAATAAAATCTGGAGAGTGGATACTAGTCTCTAAAGATGTCATAAATCTTCAACTTCAGTGTGATGATTAACTATTAACTAATTTATTGCCTTTGTGTTGTAGACAAAGGTGGAATACAAGTGTTGTGGTTTAAGCCCAGGCTGCCCCTTGCTCACTCCCCTACCAGTGAGATCAGATAGAGAACGGAGAGGGTAAAAGCCATAAAACCCGTGGGTTGAGTTAAAGACTCAATATAGGGAAAGCAGAGCAAAACAGGGAATTAATTCACTGCTTCCCATGGGCAGGCAAATGTTCAGCCATCCCCAGGATGCAGCACCCTGTCACACGTGGTGACTTGGGAAGAAAAACGCCATCCATCACTCCAAGTGTTCCTCCTTCTACCCCCCACTTTACATAGTGGGCATGATGTCACCTGGTCTGGAGTCCCTGTGCTCAGTGGGGTCACCTGTCCTGGCTGTGTCTCCTCACAGCCTCCTGTGGCCCTGTGAAAAGCAGGAAGGGCCTTGGCTCTGAGTGAGCCCTGCTGAGCAATAACAAAAACATCTCTGTGTTATCAGCCCTGTGTTCAGCACAAATCCAAAGTACAGCCCCACACCAGCCACTGGGAAGGAAGTTAACTATATTCCAGTCAAAACCAGCACAACAAGTTTTGTAGACTTGCTGGCGTATAAAACATAGCAAAACATTCACTGTATCAGTCAGGATAAGTGGTTGTCTTTTTAAATTGTCTACAGAATTACATACCTTACTGTGAACAATTTGACCTTTTTATATTTTTAAGCTGAGGCACAGAGGGAAGTTAGCTTTTGAATAGCAAAGAGGTTGGTATGATACCCCAAGAGATTATGAAATGTTGCTTTAGTAACAGTGTTGGCCATTTGAATTTTATTTCTTAATATGATCTTACTAAGTTTGTATATTCATATTTTACTCCATAATTATAATTCAGGTTATAAAACAATGTGATCTCATTAATTTGGTAGAAAACTTCAGTTGTGGTATTCATTATCAGTCAGCTTCAGTCAGAAACATTCATAGAAATGTTGAATCTTGATTGTGGAATAAATTTAATTTCATTTTTGCTTTCTTTTAGGAGACTACATTCTTGATGCAAAACCTAAAGAGATATCTGAAATTCAGCGACTTAATTATGAGCAGGTAAGGAGCTGCTCCTAAAACACAGTTGTTTATGTCTGAGGAAGCTAAAACTACATTTCTCACCTAGGGTTTGTCACCTTGTTAAAAACTAGAAACATACAGACCATTGTTTGTGATTTGATTTTGTCTGGGCTTGATGTAGAGTAATAATTTTATATATGTGCTATTGGTGAAGAAAAACTCAGTATTTATCAACAGAAGACACTTCTTTTTCCCCTGTTACGAAATAACAGTAATGAAGTAAAACGGGTTTTATTGAGGAAGTGCAACACAAAGGTACTAATAAAAGTATGTAACAGGGTGGTTGCTTTTTGAAGTCTTGTGTTGCATGTCCTTCAGTTGCTCTGTTCAGTGGTGCCTGCCAGAGTTTCTCTGAGAATGTAATTTGAGTAAGAGAGATCTGTGTTCTTAATGGTGATGGACAGAAAGATGTTGATCCCGTGTTATGAAAGGCAAGGTTATTTGCACTGGCCACTATTTATATGTCATCACAGAATTCTTTCTGTACTGAAATTAATGCTATTAGTTTTAAAAATTGTCGATTTAGTATATATTTTCCAAGCCCTGTCTGTAGTCATAGGTGGTTTTTTGGTTACTCATGGAATGTGGATTTGAATTTTTAATAGGTATAAGATTTCAAGATAGTTCTGTTTATTCTTACATCATTTTTTGTTGTTCTCATTTAGTGTTGAAAGCCAAATCGAGTAACTTGAGATTGATTTGTTTCACATTATAGAAATTACTTTTGTAATAATGAAATTGGCTATTTTCTTCCACACAGTTCTGTATTGTAGAAGGTTATAGCTATAATCAGTTTATAGGAGGGTGATCAAAACTATTATGCCTGGTGAAAGTACAACCTCTAGCTTTCTTATGCTCAGCTATATGGATTTACAACATAAATGTCACATACCTGAAGTTTTTAGCCATGTAATTTCAAAGAAGTCTTCTGTTCTAGAAATCTTCTGAGTTGCTTTGAAAGTATGGAAATAGTTAAAGTAGAAGTGATAATGTTGAAATTGTAGTGAGAGACTTCTGTGGTTTTCTGGTCTGTTTGATGTAATCCTGCTTTGTTTGCAAAGTAAACATTAATGAAATAAATGCAGCTATTGTCTGTAGATGTATGGTCTGAATTTGTGGATGGCTAGTGCTGACTTACTATGGACTTCTTATTCATTCAGCAGAGTAAGACTATGACAAAATTTCTTTCAAAACATCTCAGTTTTATATTTGATATCTGGTCCCTCTAATGACATGCTCTTGTTAAGGTGATTTAGTTTGCTTTTAAAATGATAAAAACTTAAAAGGTGAAGGCAGTCTTGAGAATTTCTTCAAAATCTTGCTAAATTCTAAACCTTGCGACAGCAAAGTTGTCAGTAAGGTGAAGCAACTTGTAGTAAGGTAGTGGGAGCTGTTCCATTCCTGACCATGGAAACTTGACAGAACAGTGCAGTTAAAGGGCTACAAGCATTAAAACAGCCATGCTCAAGTGCAGATTCTCATCAGAAGACAACAGAAGCAGCTGTCTTTAACCATCGGTAGTTTCAGTCTGTGAATCTTTGCTGTCTCCATCTCCTATCCAATTTGCATTTCTGGTCTTTGTCATGCTATTTTCCCATTGTTGTAAGCCTGAATTCCTCTTAAAGGACAGAATGTTGCAAAACCCAAAAATCCCCAAACAAACAAGCAAAGTGCCTCCGTTTCCCCAGATCTTTTACACAGACTTTCTGTGACCATACTCTTGTGGACTTTTCTCACTTAGTGGAAAATTCTTTTTCCTGCATGTCAGGAATTGTTTTTATCTGTTGGTTCAAGATAACTGTCTCACAAAGCACGATTTCTTTGGCTCATCTTTCCTTTCTGTGATTGGAACTTCATAACTTGATAATTCTCTTAGGATTCCATTGGGATCACTACTATAATAAGTGCTACTTTCTTGTCTTGTTTCAACAGTAGAATCTACAGGCCATTTAAAGGTATACCCAAAATAAGATGGAAATTTTTAATTAAAGAAAAAAAGTGGTGAACAATTAAGACTCTGATTCTCACTACTGAACCCTGAAATTAGAGTCAGCAAGTGCCTCTGTGTAGATCATTCATTATGTAGTGACAAGTACTTCAGCCTGACTTGTAAGGGAAGGCTTAAAAGGGGAGAAGAAACCTCAAGAAAAGTCCCTTGAAGATTCCCTTATAATTCAGTTTTCTTGCAAACATCTGGCTTGTGGCTTTGGGAAATAGACCTAAAAGCAATCAGAACTGCCTTAAAGTAGTTTATGGGTGTAAAAGAAGAAACAATCAGATAGAGGTGACAAGAGGGAGATTCTTTTATTTCATATATCTCCTGGCACAATGTGTAAAGTGATTGTGCATTGAAATATTTGTTTAGGTAATTTACCCTTTAGAAAAAATTTTTGAAGTGTTGAGTTGCTGAGTACTAAATGATGAAGGGTTGCAAGAGTAATCACTAAGTGTAAAGCTGTGTTGGGTCATCTGTTCTTTCCTTTCTATTGTCAGAATATGAGTGATGCAATGGCAATTCTGCACAAGTTGCAGACGGGTCTGGATGTCAATGTGAAGTTCACAGGTGTCCGAGTATTTGAATACACACCTGAATGCATAGTGTTTGATCTGCTTGATATCCCCTTGTACCATGGATGGTTAGTGGACCCTCAGGTAACTTATTCTGTTTCAATTATTTAAAAAAATGTTATCCTGAATATTACTGGTGGGAGGGGAGGTATTTCTGAATTTTAACAAGTCAGTAATGAATAGGGTAATGAATTTTTTTAACCCAGTCATAAAAACTGAGGAGTGAATACAGGCTGTGTTTTTAGTGCAGGAACTTTGCAGAGCCTGGGTCTGTAGTCAAACTACTTTAAAAGCCTTCTCTGACTCTGTAAAGGAGAATTGTTTTTCTGAGGGAAGTAGCAGGTTGCCCCAGATACAGTGTCCCAGTCATCATTTTTGAAATCTTATTAGAGAACACTTGGAAGGAATACAAAGTTACTTTCCTCCTTTTTTAAATTCTGATTTATTAGTTACTGCTGTTGAGAAATGAGGATGGTAGAACTGGTTGGAGAGAACTGCATCTTTAGCAAACATGTAATTTATTTTTAATTATATTATTTAATAAACAATAAAGTGGTATTGTTTGCTTAGGGTGAAACTGGTGAGTTTGGCTGGAATAATAATGTCTAAGAGTTTTTCTTTTCATGGCCTGTTGGTAAGAGTTGCTGTTCTCTTACCCTGGCCCAGCTGATCCAACTCATACCATGCTCTCCATCTGCCTTAGCTTTTGATGCTAAGGGTTAACTGAAGGATTTAAAATAGGATCTGAAATAGCAAATATGTAACACTCTGGGCTAGATGTTTTGGCCTAGATTTTTTAAGGGGGTAAGTTCCTCTCTTTATTGAATTCTTATTGTCTTATTAATAATTGCCACTGGCTTGCAGCTGTGTTCTGTTCTTCTCGAAGGTAAATTCTCCATGTTGTTCCTTTCTGCTGCAGGTTGCTGATATAGTAAAAGCAGTTGGTAACTGCAGTTACAATCAGCTGGTGGAGAAGATAATTTCTTGTAAACAGTCAGAAAACAGTGAACTGGTTAGTGAAGGTAAGTCATGTTTTTCCATATTTTATCGAAGTATGTGCCCTGCCAAATCTAAGTTAGATATTTTGCATGTGGGTGATGCTGAGTAGAGATACAGGTGGGAAGAGCTGCATTCTGTGTGCTGAGCTGCTTTCCCTAGGCAGGCACAAACACTGTGCTTGTCTTCTCAACTTCTCTGATGCTTGCCTTTGATCTATTTAATATACTTTTTCAAAAGCTGGCAAGAACTTTCCCTGTTGTGGCAGCATTCAGATTTCGACTTAGCTATGTATCTGCTATAATTAAAATATTAATTATATACTCCATTACAACAAGTAAAAATATGAGTAATATTAGAAATGAATATAGCATTTCTGAACATGGGAAGGTTTGTTTACAATGCTGTGGTTTTAGAACTTTGAAACTTGTTGTCCCCTCTTTTTATGTGTTCCCTAAGGCTTGTGACAATATGGGGACATAGGGGGAAGGATAGGAAAAATACTGCTATTGTTTCAGGTCTTATATTAGCAAGTGTGTAATAGACACACATAACAGTATGTTTTGCTTTTGTAGGGTTTGTAGCTGAGCAGTTCCTAAATAACACAGCTACGCAATTGACATACCATGGACTGTGTGAGTTGACTTCAGCTGTCCAGGAGGGAGAGCTTTGTGTGTTCTTCAGGAACAACCATTTTAGCACCATGACCAAATACAAGGTACATCCAGCTTTTTGTCTTTATTGTTGTGTTTTGTGTTTCAAAGCAAGTCATGCTTTTTTACTGTCCTGAAATATAATTAAATTCCAGGTTGTTATATATAAGTATGGCTTACAATGATTGTAAGGTCTGTTGCAAATGTTACTTAGGAATTATTGATTACAGTGGTTTAGTCACTGGGATCCATTACTACTTTAAATCTTCTTGTAGCCTTTCCCTTTATGTTCAGTTTGCTCCCTGTATTAACTCTTTGTGGTTAGGTGTAGTTATGTACACTTCTTAGATGGCTTAAATTTTCTTGCAGTTTGTGGTTGGCATGAAAAAGGTTACTTTAATTAATTTCTTGTTTCTGAGGATCTAAAAGTTTGCATTACATTTGGCCAGTAGATTAATAGGTCCATATGCAAAATCCCAAATGCTTGGAGAAGATGAAATGAGCTACAATATTGGTTCCCTTTGTTAGGGAAGAGAATTTCTTTTAATTATTTTTATCTGTATCTGGGCAAAATGGCAGCAGTTGTGAAAGGAGTATTCCAGGATACAAAAAGCAAGTGTCAGCTTGGTTAGTGCTTCTGGGACTCCTTCCTCCATGGAATGGAGAATCTGGTTTGGCAAGTTAACATTCATTTATGGAGCATCTTCATGCTAAAACAACTTTGCTTTTGCTAGGATGGTAGGGTATGGGTTTTTACCCTTGTATAGAACTCTTAAAACTACGTTTTGGTCATCTGTTATTTAATGAGACTTTAATTTCATGTATTCATTGTGCTTATGAATAATGGTAATAAAAGCAAAAAAAGAAGAGGTGTGTAACATGCAAAAAAGTTAAGAAACCCCTGGTATTGCCATCATATGATAATGTCATATACCTCATGTGAATGACACTCATTTGTTACTACTAGTCCTTTTTTCCTCCCTCTGTTAATCTTGACTGTCAGAGCTAATCTTTGGCATTTTGAGTAACTACTCATAAGCTGAGCTTAAGGTCTGAACAGTCCTGAAAAATAATGACAAGCAGGTAACACATGTGATTTTCTGATTAGAGTACATCTGAGATCTGTTTTAAAACTGTATACGATGCCACTCGCTTAAAGCAGTAGGGCAGGTAAAAGGCTCTTTCTCCTCCCTTTTTCCATTTAAATAACCCAGAGCTGTGAAATAAATCTGTGTGGTCAAATATTACCTGATGCAGTTCATTTAAATTACAATTTTGAGTATAGTTTTTCCCCTCTCTGCTTTTCTAAATTTATTTCTTGGATTAGGTGGTGGCAGCTCGTGAAGCAAGCCTGTACACTGTTTTACACTTGTTACATGGAGTGGGGAGGGAAGAATAAACCCCAGCCTCAACATAGTTTGGTTTTAAAAAAGTAAAAGTACAGCTGTACTTTCTGGGTACAAATGGTATCTAGAGGTGCAGGTACTCTTTTACTTTGTTTAAAGGCCATTCTAGATAAAAATTCATAAATCCTTCTGGAAATAACACGTTTTTTGTGCTATTATTAAATCCTTTACCATATTATTTGTATATTATATACAGTCAATGAGTATCACTTTGACCTGTGGATTATAAATACAGATTAGTTTTCTAAAACATGGGCTCTTTGTAGTCTTTTGCAGCCCAGTATTACATTAAAGGGTAAAACCTGGTGTGTGTCTGTGCTTTATCAGCTTCATCATACTTGTAAACATTTGCTTCTCAGTTGAGATCCTTTTTCCTTATAGAAATAAAATGCAACACTTCAATGAATTAAATACCCTCAGCCAATATTAAAAGTATGGAACAGGTTAAGGCAGTAAGTAAAAATCTGTGTCTTGAGTTTTACCTGTAAGAACTAAATACAAGTCCTAAGAAATATAAAGTTAAAATATTTGAAAATGAGTGTGGCTTGAATATTTAAAGTTTGTTGCTGCTAAGTCACAGTGGTTTTAATCTTGTGCTTTTTGAGAATTCTTAGAAATCTGAAATGCTAAATTTTGAAATAGAGGTCATTATTCTTGTTTTTCACAGTCATTATAGGGAATGACCTTGTAGTTATGTTTCATTTCCATGTTATTTACATGTTTTTGTTCCTGAGGTTATTGCTTGTAAACAGTGTTCATTTTGATTTGGATTTCTGTTGACTGGTACATGGCAGAATTTGAGATACCAAGAAACTTTTTAATAAAGACAGAAGATAACTTTTAAATTGATGTTTAGGGGCAGCAGTAACTCTTTTGGCTCCTACCTACCCAGCTGTTTGCAGTAGCTATACATCTAGGGGGTCTTTTGAATCAAGTCAGAAACAGACTTAACTTGGGCTTTTAGCCAAGATCAGCTCTCCAGAGATGTTTGGCCCTCGAGGATACTCATGTGAGTGCCAAATGCATTGTTGCTGAAGAGTTGAGATTTCTTTCAACTGCTCCACTGTTTCCATCTCCTGGGTTTCGTGCTCGCTCTGCAGATGGAGTTTCCCCACAGTTTGAGCAGTAGTCAGCAGTAGCTGGACTATGGAGAAAAGTTTTTCCAGTGGGAAAACTGGAGACACAACATATGCCAGGGAAAATGGAGGTACAGAACTTCTAGGGCAAAAATGATGCAATTATTTTTTCTTTTTCTCTAATACTGCCTTTGTCTCTTTCCCCTCCAAACCAATACATGGAAACATATAAATAAAGCAGCTATAAAGTTAATCAAAAGGGAACTAACTTAATAAATGTGTATGTCCATGTAATAAAATCAGTGTATTTTTAGAAACTCAGCTTAAGTAATTAGCGATTATTATTCTAATTAAGCTGAGGCTTGAGCTTTTATTTGGCAGCTTTAATGTACAGCTGATACAAGAACCTGTACACTGGGAATATTTTTTAGGTGCAGTGTGGGTTTTTTAAGGCTGATATTTTAGTGAAAGGATTTGAATTTCCATACCTTGTCCATTTGCCCAAGTAATAATTTTTTCTACTTCCTGTCCCTTTTATTGCATACTAGTAGTCTTGGCTCATGTGATTATACAGTAATAATTTTCAGCACTTAAAAATGTGATTTTTTTTTTTGCCTTTGCTTTTCATTATGCAGATAATAAATACAACAAATGATAATTCCCTAGATCAAGGAAAAACAGGACTGTAAAGAGGGGATCAGTTTGGTAAGAAGATCTTAGTTCAGTTGGAATGTTTTTCCCACAGACTTGTTTGAATAGCACCTGTGTTCTTTACTGAAAAGTATCAAGGCACTTACTTGTTTGGGTTTTGAAGTATGTGTGGTTTCTACTTTATAAATGTTGTGTTTCTGCTTCAGAACTCAACAGATACTTTTATTCCAATACAAAGTGTATTTCATAATTGCACTTTTTCCTTGGACATTTAAGATTGGCACAGTAGAGGCAATGAATATAACTGTTTAAAAACATGTTTATTTTTCAATTTCTTAGTAAGTGTACAGTTCTTATGCTGAGGATTACTCTGAATTCAATAGCACATACTGTCTTTAAAAAAAACTTTTTAATATTAGTATATCTGAGTGTTTTAACTGTTAGAGAAAATTAAAACACTCATTCATCAATTTAAAACATCTTTACAAAAACGAAGGGATCTGATCCAGAAGTCCAAGAGAATATTTACTGACTATTCAAAACATAAGGCTTAAAATATTTGTCTTTACTGTACAAAGCTATTGGACAGATGTTTGGTTTTCTTTTTCTGTTTTCTGAATTGCTGGAAATTTGGTAATTGGCATTAGAACAAGTAGTTTAAAAACATTATTTATTTAATCTGATTATTAAATTATCCAAGGAAAGGAGGTCTAGTAACATCCCCTGTAGCCTATATTTGTGCATTTCAGAGAGGGAGTTTTTTTTGTGCAAACCAGAAGACTGAGATCCCTGTTGGGGAGAATAATCTTGCTTTATCCTCAATTTTAGTTCAAGGTTTTTATATGTGAAACTATAAAATCTGGGCATTGGTCTACAATATCTAAATATTGATTCTTAGGATAAATAATTAGTCATAACTTTGTTAGAGTAAACTGTGTCTACAGTAGTTACGCACTTGGGACTTTCACCGTTTTACTCCCTGTTGACGATAGTTAATAGTAGATACTTTTGCTGTCTACTACCTGCTGGTATTTTGGGGAGCAGTGTTAACCCATGAGACTGGGTATTTGTTAAAAAAACCCCACATTTCAAAACAAATCTAAAAGATAATCTGGTAGTGCTCTAGAAATGGCCAGTTGAGATTTTTCTGAGGGTAGAAACATGTTGTAAAGCGTGACATCTGTTCTCGGTGAGGGGCACTTGGGAGCCGTTGTTGCGTGCATTGGTTAGCTGAGTGTCCAGAGCTGGGCCTGGTGAGCTGTGCACAGGCCGGGGCCGTGTCCCCGTCCCTCCCCCGGGGCCGTGTCCGTGTCCCTCCCCCGGGGCCGTGTCCGTGTCCCTCGCAGGCCGCCCCGGCCCGGGCTGTGGAAGTGCCTGGGAAGGGCGGCTGTTTCCTGGCCGCAGGCTGGCCTGGCTCCGCGGCAGCGCGAAGGGCGGTCGGTGAACGCTTCTCTCGGGTCACGGGCAGTCCTTGCTGGGCCTGGGTGTGCCACTGAGTGTGGCCTGTGCCTTTGGCTTTGGGGAGAGAACGTGCCTGGCACGAATACTGCACCTACAGAGCCAGTCTGTAGATAGGACACTTATTTTCTTGTTGCAAATGGAAGAACAAACCCGTGATGAGAGGCTACATTACAGCTCACAGCAGAAGAGCAACCTCCTCTTTATATGAAATTATTGCCAAAGGTTCCATGAACATTAGCAATATTGTGAGGGTCCTGGTTGGGGTTTTTTGTGGAATCCAATTTAATTATACTACTATGATGTAAAGATCAGAGAAGCTGGTTAAAAACAAGGGAAAGAAGACTTTGGATCTCTGATGTGTGATTTCCCATTTTTCTTTCATTCCAATCATGTGAGCAGGAACTCTGTCCCTTGTCAGGTACCTTATCAGGTCCTATGGAGCCTGTGTTTGTTGGTTTGCTAAGCTTTGTTCAAGTGAAGCAGAATGTTTGAAGGTATGCAGTTGGTATTGGAATTGCAGTGGTGGTGTTCAGGTGATGTGGTGATATGTAATGCAGTTGATTGCCTTTCATTAGGGAGCTGTGTTACATTTATTTTGTATTATTTACTCTAATGTGACATTTTTACAATCAGTTTTTGACTGAGAAATTCTTACAAAGAATATGAATTGTATTTAAGATTTGAAACAGGTCTCTATTTCAAACAAATGTTAGCTTTAATCCATCCTTAGATGCTAGATTCTAATTCTATGAAGGCAATGATATACCTTAATATTTGTGTGTGGAAAAATTAAGCTTATAATAGTTTGGAGATAGGAAAACTAGTATTTTCACAATTTCAGTATTACTAAGCTGCACAGTTTATGGGCTGTAACTAATGTATGGCATAATAGAGGAAAACCTGAGAGACACAAACCACCCCCTTTTTAAGGTTTTGTTTGTCAATGTACTGTTCAAAATAAAACTTAAAAGTTCAAATACATTTTATTTTAAAAATTCTGGGATTTTTTTAAATATCTTTTTGAAGACTTCTTGTATACAGAATGTTGTGAAATAGGTATTTTGTGCAAACTGGAAATGTTGCAGAATTACTTCCTTTTATTTTCTTCAGGTAATTTTAAGTGTCAGAGTATCATTCATTTCTTAGGCAGGTTTCCAAGGGACAGATGATTTCTTAGATCGTGTTATGTGATCAGACTTGTTGCTGACTCTTGCATTTATGTCTGTGAACCCCCCTGTGCTGGTTAACTCCCATTCCAAAACTTGAACATACAGTAGTGTTACTTCTTTGGTTTTGGTTTGGGTTTTTTATCCACTCCGTTTGGCCTTGTGTATAAGTGCACGTTATGGTATTAGGTAATATTGGAATAATTACTGTATGTGAGTCTTCAAATAATATTTTTGTTACATCAAGTGACCTCCCAGCCCCAGCAGGGGCAGCTGTAAACAGAGTGGGATTGACGAGACGTGAGTGGAATTTCAACATCTCCCTTAGAGAGTTATTTAATGACTTCAGAGAAGTCAGGGAGCTCGTTCTCTATGTGTTGAGTATAGACAGAGTTTCCATTTCTTGCCTGTTTAGCCTTAGAAATCATTAGAACAGGATCTGCCTCTTGCTTTGGTACAACTTGAGCACAGTGATCTTTGAGAACCCTTTGTGTGCTGCTGGAACACAAATACCAAATTTTTGTGGATGTCACAATAAACTGCCTTGATTTTTACAGCTAAAGCACTGCTACAAATTTTGTATTGAGTGTCTTGATGTGGTACATTCAGTCATTCTAATGGGAGCTTCAGTCTTAATATGCTCTATGGTCAGTAACAACATTCTTAATTTGGAGTATAATCCTAAAACATGATAAAAAAGGTAGGATGAAATAAATGGATTGATTTAAATGGAAATTTAAACAAGTATTTTGTGCTGCTTTGCTGTCCCTCAGACATGCAGCACCATCTCCTTTTACTTGGTGCCTACTTCAGTTATTTCCCTTTGATTTCAGCTCCTCTCCTTCTCCTTCATCCTAAGCTTGAACTTCATCCTTCCAGTGCCTTGGTATCTGCACTTCTTAGCACTGTTTCCTTCACTCCAGACCAGCCCATTTTATAATTTCAGACTCTGAAATCAAGAAATTTGGTCTTGTGGAACTGTAAAATTACTAAAATCCCAACAAAAGCAATTATTGGTAACAAGTGATAGCAAGAATCTTAAATTTAGTGCTTTCAATTGACACCGACCTCAAATTCTATCAAAAGTCATTATGAAACATGAAGTCTGAGGTATGAGATATGGCCATTTTGAGGTAATGCCTCTTGGATTGTTTGGAAAGGTCACCTTTGTCTCCATATCTTGCCTTTGGAATTTAATGTGATTACTCCTAGGATTTAAAGTTTTTGTTGCCAGGTTTTAAGTCCACTTCTTTGGTGTGTTTCTAAAGAGCTGTCAAGGTATATAGCTTGATATATATTAATATATTCTTTCATGTATATATATTAATGTTTTATATTAATCAATATGAACTTCCATTAAGAATGAAGAGTTGCAAGATGGAATACAGAAATAGTGTGGCTGTTAATTTAGCAGTGAACACTAGTATAGTGGTTTAATGCTGTATGCTGATTTATTTAATTACTAAACGTGCTAAAAACTCTAAATGAATGTTTTATTGGAATGCAACATTTGTATCATTTCTGCTACTTAGATTGTAAAAAGTTTTTTTTTTTTTTTAGTTTTACAAGTTTTCCTTGTTCTTCTCTACAGGGTCAGCTTTATCTGCTGGTGACAGACCAGGGCTTTCTTACAGAAGAGAAGGTTGTGTGGGAAAGTTTACACAATGTGGATGGTGATGGGAATTTCTGTGACTCTGAATTCCACCTGAGGCCTCCATCAGACCCTGAAACTGTCTACAGAGGGCAGCAGGATCAAATAGATCAGGTACTGGATTTCTGCCTTTCCATTTTAAGTTAGTACCAATTTTTAGTCATATTTATGTGTAATTCCACAGATGTGTGTATACTCATGCATATCTGGGACTGTAAAACTCCTTTAGGTAAATTAGATTGGGGTTCCCAAAAATGCCACTTGAATGTATTAATAGGGTTTTGAGGGAGGAAAAGTGAGACCAACTGAGTAGTTTGGAAAATGGGATTTTAATCTCTCAGAATCCACTTCTGGCAAGTCCTCACTCAGGTGAAATGTCACCTCTGTTTTGTTTATGGAAACAGAAGCAGACTGTGGAATTTCTTCCTACATAACAAACTCCCCTCAGCTCATTAAGATTGTCATAGCTGAACTTTGCCTTCAGCTGCCCACTTGGCTGAGTGTAGGACAGACCCCACAAGAGATTGTGTGTCATGGTGGCTGTTTGTTATTCTTGCTGAGACACAGAGTTTGAAGAAGTCATGTCTGAGGTGGGGCTGTGTTGTACTAGTTAATGCACAAGTGCAGAGCAAGGCTAAGTTCCTTGAAAATCTTACATTCTGAACAAGTTTATAGTGATCACCATTAATTTTTTTTTTTAAATATTGGGGGAAAATTAATAATTCTCTCTCTCAGAATAAAAATCTGACAGATAATTTGCGGCTGTCTAGGTAATAGAATTTAAACCTGAAAACAACATTACTAAACTAAAATTAGTTTTTGTGTCTTCTGTGCTGCAGCTTAGTCATTGTGAAAGCAGACATGTAAAGTAGCTGTTCTCAGCCTTCCTGCAGTTGAGGTTATGGACAGGTTCTGAAACAAATTCCTGATCTCCATTTGAAGATAAGGCTGGAGAAAAGTGATGGTACTGTGTAGCTGCACATGCTGAAAAATTCACTTGGTATGACTTGACTCTTTTCTCTGTGAAAGAGCATTAATTCACAAGTTTACTCTTTAGGATTACCTGATGGCATTGTCTCTACAACAAGAGCAGCAGAATCAAGAAATTAACTGGGAACAGATCCCAGAAGGAATCAGTGATCTAGAGCTAGCAAAGAAACTCCAGGAAGAGGAGGACAGGAGAGCTTCCCAGTACTATCAGGAACAAGAACAAGCAGCTGCTCAGGTCCAGGTAAGAAGAAAGTACTACAGAATATGATCATCAGTTTTAGAAAGTATGAATAATTGCATAGATGCATCTGTGCTTGTACATATTTCAGCCTGAGGTGAACATAGGAATCTTTAGGAATACACTACAATTGTTGGAGTATGCATGTAGATATGGCAACTGCAGACATTTATATACTTTAAAGCAGGCTTAGCCTTCTAAATTAGGGTTTCATTTATACTTAATTCGGAATGATGGTATGAACTAATATGTCAGGTTACAAAATGGTATTAGCTAGTATTTTACATTACTTGCAGAAGTGTATTGAGCTAACCTTTTTGATAATAGTTGAAGCTTTGTCTTTATTTTGCCTTGCAAAAGTTTTTTGCTGTACATTTTTAGGTGATTCAGACTGTGATTGCATGTGAATCTATTCTGTTGTTCCAAATTAGGCGATTCACAGTTTCTCCCAGTACACCTTTCTATCCCATACCCATGAGCAGCTCTTTTCAAAGTCTTTTGAAAATGTGATTCATGCACATGTCTATCAAAAAATGCAATTTAACTGAATCTTCTGTGCCAGATACAATATTTAATTGGTGGTTTGGATTTAGAGAGCTCTTAACCGCTGAGGGCTTTCAGAACTGCTTTTATTTACAAATATATAAGAAATAATCTATATAAAGCCTGCATCTTTGGCCTGAAGTAATTCAGAACCATTAACTGATAAGTTTGAAACAAGAATTTTGACAGGTAAAAGTTGTGTTATTTGCACTGTTTGTTGCTTTAATAGAACCAGCAGTACCTAGTTAAGACATAGAGTCATATCTGCCAAAGGCAGAAGGAACTGAAGAACCTGCTGAACAGGATTAAGAGCCTGCTCATTTGCAGCTGTGAATGGGTAGCAGAGGGAATAGATGATGAATTAACAAAACTTATGTTGCCTTTGTATACCAACTTCCTTGCCAAGTTATTAAAGAGTTTCTAGTCACAAAAAGCTGCTGCCTTACCATTATCTCGCTGTCCACACCAGCACTTTGACTCTGCAAACAGTGAAATGTGGATTATGTACTTACAAGAGAAACCAAGAAAAAATTCCAGTGCAATAATACAGAAGTGCCAGAAAATGCTTGAAACCATATTTTATTGAAACTACTGATCAGTATATGTGGACACAACAGAAGGGACACATGAAACTTGAAATATCTTTTCAGCTGACTTAATTTTCAAGAAATAGACAACTTTTGTGGAGGTCCTGGAGTATATACCAAAAACCCAACCTGAACTCCACTGGTTTGCATAATACTTAAACTTTTTGTTTGTGAGCTTGACCACACAGGAAGAGTTCAGGCTGTATGTGCAATGGTGCTGGGTTTATTTCCCATGTTATCTTCCCCACACAGCAGGTACAAGGTGCTGCCTCTCCAGCCAGCACAAGACAATCCGGGAGTAACGAACGCAAACGCAAAGAGCCTCGAGAGAAGGAGAGGGAGAAAGAGAAGAACAGCTGCGTTCTCTTGTAACAGAACATGGATTCCATCTGGAGCCAAGTGCATGTCCTCAGAAGCAAAAACAAGGAGTAAAAAGGAAGACAAACCTGTTACATGCCGCCTGTGCCTGATTACCCCATGGATTTTGTTCATGTTCCAAGAGAGGATGGATGACTTTGTACCAATCAGACTTCCTTCAAAGTCATAGCGCGTGCTGCTCAAGAGGGAATTCCAAATCACAGTTGGATGCGGCTGTGCTTTGAGTTAGTCATAAGAAATATTGCACCTTGTAGCTGAACACACAACTCATGGCAAGTCCTGTGTCATAGTGACATCCATTACTCATTACATCAGTTAGTAAGCTATTTTATCTTCTACTCTAAACCAAGGTAATTCATTTTGTGTAAGGCTTTTTCCTGAAGTCTGTACACGAGCACAACAGAGTTCTATGTTACTTCCTTAGTATGAAACTATATCTTAGGCTGGGTATAGTCTCCACGACACATGAGCCCAAGTAACAGCTGGGCACTGCCTCCTCAGTGTGTCCAGATTTCTTTGCTTCTGGATCTGGTATGTTCTTTTTCTGAACCCAGATTTATACTTGTTACTGCTATCACTGCATCTCCTGGCCAGCTTTCTTGCCCCAAGAATATGTGACTTGATAGGCAGCATACGAAAATTGTCATGAAGAAAATGGGGCATTTATTAAAAAGCAAGATGAATATTGTTTGCTTTTCTTGCAACTACAAACTGGGTATGGCAACTCAGATGTTATCAGGGTTAAACAAGTAATTTTATAGGTAACTTCTTTTTTCTTTTATTATTTTTTTCCTCTTGTAGGTAAACTGGACCAGATAAGCTTTTATTTATTGACCTCTCCATATGATAGATGAATGATGAGAGGAAACTAAAGTCTATAATAATCGTTATTCTATATAAGAATGCAGAGTTAAAATAACTAACTATCTGCCTTTTATCCAGAAGTACCTTGAACTTCAACATGACGTTAACATGTCCACTTGTATATTTAAGCAAGTGTACTGTAGTTAGAAACACACTTTATTGTTTGTTTTATAAATCATGTATTCTTAAAAAAGCACACTTCTGAAGGGGTGAGAGAGGAGTGAAGCTGCCTCTCTGAGATGGTTTGAAAGGTGATCAGGTGTAATATTTTGTTTTTTAAATCACTAATTTAGAATTTTTGGAAACCAGATTTTTCTAATGTATGGGAACCAAATAAACAAGTTGCATCTTGTAGTATTTATAGAATGCAGAAACAGAACACTTGATGAATTTTGAGGGAACCACAAATCTTCCTCCACTTCCATTAAATCAATAACAATTAGTTCTTGCTGAACCTTTTGATAAAAATTTCTATTTAGCGATTTGTAGATACTTTTGAAAAAGGCTGCTTCTCCTGGACAAGTTCTGTATCTGTGCTCTAAGCCTTAGTGTTCACACAGAATAACCTGGGCAAGCTGAGGTGGAATATGACATTCCTGCTTCCAGGTGTTTGGAGAATGTCTACAAAAGTGGGTGTCTACCACAAGTCCACTGGTAAAAAGCCACTTCACAATTATTTCAAGCAGACTGGCTGCACTGATGGCACCCGGTCATCACACACATCTGTTACCAACCTAGAATGAAAATGACATAAAGGAAGAATGTCTTACCAACTAAAGGGCCAATTTGTATCACTTTTCTTCCATGCCTTTTCCTCTTTTGTTTTTCTTCCACTTTTATGATTTCCCTTTTATAATGATGAAGTAATGAACAGTAGGAGGTCTCTAATATGTAAACTGTAAATTTAAAAATATCTTCTCTAGAAAAGTCATGCCCAGAGAAGTAATTTTAATACTTAATGTATGCAGTTCAGATAATTTTCTATGTCAAAGCAAAGGTTGATGTCTTTTTTTCCTTTGCAGCAGCCTAACTTCTTCAGAAATTAATGTGATGGAGGATCACCAACATAATGACTTAGCTACTTTAAGTAGATGAGAAACTATTCCAATAGTGTCAATAACAGAGACTTTAAGCCAGAATGTTGTTTAAAAACATTCTGTTACTAAGATTTTTCCAAATTTTGTGTATTTACATTTATTTATTGACCTTGAAAAATAAATATGTCAAGCTAAGTGTTTGTTATTATTTTCAGTGACAGTATTGCCACTTTAACTCCTTTTGGAAGGAATCTAGCTGTTGTGGCTATGGAGTTTATCTCTTTGGCTAAGATACTTGTTCATATTAGAAGAATTCATGTAACATTTCCAGATTCAGACAGATGTTGTATCTGAAACTTAATATTCTGTAGTTAGAGGAATTATGGTCATTTGGTCACAAAGGAAGAAGAGTTAAATGCAATGCTCATCATGAAGTTGCAACTCCCAGATCATTCAGTTTCTTTCAATAGTGGAGTAAAGGTTTCAGGGTATTTGAGATGGAAGGCATGCTATGAAAACAGTCCTCTGTTAATATCCTTTTTTCTTTACAGGTCTTGAAGCTTTGGAAAAAAGGTTAAAAATTCCTGAAATCTAGGGCTGCATGAGTTGAACTTGTTAGCAGCAAAAGTTATAAGCAGTTGAGCTTCCTAATACCCAAAATGAAATTCACCTGGAAGCTTAATTTATGCCCCACTGGGAGTAACCATTCCAAAAGCACCTGTCGCAGTTGGTATCTCTGACAGTATCTGAGGATCAAAAAACCTGAACAGAATTGCTTTTATGTATATGAAGTGAGCTTGGAAAACAATATTGCACAATTTAGTCTTGGAGTACCAGGAAGACAATATCTACTTCTGTTTACTTAATTTGCCTTTTTTTTTTTCTTTTTCTTTTTCTTTTTTTTTTTCTTTTTTTTTTTCTTTTTTTTTTTCTTTTTTTTTTTCTTTTTTTTTTTTTTTTTTTTTTCTTTTTTTTTTTTCTCTAGCTCATGTTCTGGCAAAAGGGTATAGATTTATACTTTAAATCTGTTTATACAATTTAGCATGTACATGCTCCAAATACCTACGTAATATATATGGAAGTGTCCAGAAAAGTAGAGTAGATAGAACTTGTTTTCCACTAGATAAATGCTAGCACAGAAAACAGAATCATAGAATTTTTGTTGTTGCATTATAGTTGTGACATAAAGAAAGCTACATACAAGTATTCTTAAGATTAGCAAAAAACTGAGCACTGCCGTAGAGATAAATGTTTTTCTATAAGGCACTTTGTAAATGCTCAAATCACCAGTTTTCTAGTGACACTCATGGAATCTGCAACCCAGCAAAGCAGATCCAGCAGAGGGTTGTATCACCAGAGAATGAAATCAGCGTTCCTGAAAATTCACTTAAACACAATGTAGAAACTACATTTTGTTAGCTGTCCATGTTGTTCACATCAGAAATGAAGTGTTCAGAGTTTCTCTGCAGAGCTGCTTTTGTGGCTCCCAGGAGTTCACACGAGCTCCAAGGGAAGCACAGGCGCTGCTGGCATTGCCAGGCAGGCTCTGACACACTTGGGATGTCACATTACTGTCATGTTTCTTCAAACTTGTACACACAAGCTCTTGAGAAAAAGTTTCCAGTATGTAATAAAAGGCAGTTTTGAGTTCTTGAAATGAATTTTCTTATGCATTCAGCAGGAAATACTAAAGTGAAAGGTAAAGCTGATGTATTTTTAACTGAACCATTCTTCATTCCTGCTCCACTGGTTCTGTAACCAAGTCAGCTGATTGCTTGGATCAGCTCTTTGCATTAGCATGCTTATTAGAGAGTCTATACAAAGTACATCCTTCCATACAACATACTGAATTATGAGCTTATTTTACATAAAAGGAGATTTTTAAAGGTTGCAGCATTGAACAGGTGACTCAGGAAATGCACATTAATTGATGGAGAATCCTTATTAGAAAACATACTACAGAAAAGCAAAAATAACAAGCTGTAGTTTGGTTGCAGTAGAATGCTCCCATTTTTTCCATCTGTGCTATGATGAACACCTTGGGAGCAAGAAAAATCCACCTCTCAAAAATGTTAATTCAGTCCAGGGATAGCAAATGTCACGTGCAAGGCCTGAAAATGGCATTTCATCTCGACAAGTGCATATCCTTTTTTATTAAGCATGACTAGCCAGAGACTGTTAGTGCTGAGTGGGCAAAGGGAAGAGGTGAGTGACACTTGTCACACCATGTCATGTACAGAGTGTCTGATGTTCAGTGCTCCTGCACAGCTCCCTCTTTTCACAGCTTGCCCAGTAGGAAAGCAGTGGATGCAAGCTCAGCTGTGATCTGCTTTCATGGGGAGGAAGTGCCACAGGGGAATGCTAAGGAGGAAAGAGAGGCTGGAACATAAAAAGTCCCTATGCTACCTCTAGAGATTGTTTAAGGCTTTGTCCTTAATTTTGCTGTTACTTTGGACACAAATAGCTGTGGCACAGCGTGCAGTGACCACATTTTCTCACCTAGGTAATGCCCAGCAGGTTCATTTCCTGGCAGGTTGGCAGTGTCTGTCCCTGGACACACTGCTCTTCACTCTCACTGTGCTTTAAAGTCAGAACTAGCTGTGCTGATCCTCTGATAGCTCCAAATATTCTTATTAAATGTGAGTTGCCTACTGTTCAGTTTCGGTCAATGTCAGCTCCTGTCACTCTGAGCGCTCTCTACTGGAGAGTTCTCCCTAGAGAACTTGCTGAAATCTGCCTTCCTCATTCCTTTTCTGGTTTGTAGGATTACTTGTGTTCATGGAGAAGCTTTATGTGCTGAAATGGGCAATTCCTTGTTTTTCAGGGTTAAAGTCTTTAAATACTCAGTTAATCATCATCAGAAAGTGAAGATCCCCTGTTTGCCTCAACAGCATAGAAAAACATGCAACAAAATAGTGTTATTTTTGGGAAATCCTAGGAAATGATTCAGATGAAGTTTTAGCACTCACAGTAACTGAAATGTTGCCAGCTCTGATCGGAGCTGAGGCACTGCCCGTGCTGCCCTCCTGGCAGTGAATGAAATGGGGGTTGTTTGATAGAGTCAAACACTCAGCCAAATGTACAGAGACCTGGGGGGTGCACAGGGACACAAACTCAGCTAAGTTTTATTATTTTTTAAATTACTCTCTTGAACTTCCTTCCTTTAGTCCTGACCCAGTTTCAGTTTAGGTCCCCATCCACCATAAGTGATACCTGTTGTGAAACATATGGGGATTGATCTAATAGTGTCTCAGGAGCCAAAGCCTTTAGCTGAGACAAACTGAGGTTCTCCATCACAGAGCTGGATGAAATAATGGGAGACTTGTCTGTCTTGAAGTTCATGCTCTCTTGCTGAAGCCTTTAGGAAAATCTGGATGGTCTTTTTGAGTTAAAACTTCAGCTGTAACTTTGAAAAGTTAAATTTATGCTAAGCAGTTTTGAAAATTTCACCTTAGTTTAGCATTTTTTAGATTTCTTCTGAATGTGTTTCCAAAAAAGCTGGGATAACTTGTATTTTTTTTAGAAACCCTGTGATGGCTTTTGTTCCTGCTTATTGGCACATGCCAAGGAAAAGGTCAAAGCTGCAATTAAAAGAAACACCAGTGTGTCTTAAATCACTTTAAAAATTTAAATCAGCTGAGTAATGGGAACACCCTTAGGTTTGCTCATCTCTTGTTTTGAGGAACTCCAAAATATCTAGAAAAATAGACAATTTTCTCTCCAGTATTTTGGTATCAGGCCAGCAACAGGTCTGTTAATTTTAAGGCGTTTGTTATTGCAGATTAACCAGAGCCAGAAACTGGTTTATCTTAGTTGCTGTTGTGTTCACAATTGATGTTTAGTGAAGCCCTTCACACTCAAAGTTTGAAACCAGGTTCTCTGTGAGGTAACAGTATGGGGACTTTGGCCAATTTCATGGGTGTATATTACTAGTGATTCTACTAACTACAGAAAAAAAAAGTATTGCTGGGGAAATAAAATCCTTCCATTGCTTGGAAAAGCATAGTAGTAGCTGATATCTTCAAGACACTGCAGATATATACAAGGAACCAAGGAACCTGCTTGTGGACTTTAAACCATTTGTAATCCAGCCTTTGCATTTTTTATCATGAATAGTTGCAATAATTACATGTTTGCATTCCATATACTCGGGTTACAGCAGGTGTGCTTGCATTTCTGGATTTCTTACATGCTTTCTCTTAGGGACTGGCAAGCAAAAATAATTTTAGAGAATCCCTTTAAAAAGTGACCATAGATACAATGATTTCAAGAGACAAACCTATTGTAGCAAGGGTTTCTTCACTTGTATTTTGAGAACTCTTGCCATGACCAGTGCTGTAACATTCTGCTGGAAAGTGTGACTGGTGAGGGAGTTAAGGTGCAGACATTGATGAAATAAGCAGGTTCTGGTTTGGACAGGCTTTGTACTTGCAAAAGCATCCCCAATTCATGCAGGTTGCTATCAGATTGTACTGGACAGATCACAGCACCTGTCAATGGTTTTCGCTGTGTTTCTGCAGTGTGTGGTCACTGTTTACAGGCTGAGCCTCATAGAACTTCTCAGAACTACAGAAGTATCAAGTACTTGTCCTGTGCCACAGAAATATTCTAAATCTGTTAGTTCTTGCTCAGTATTATGCTAATTCCTTACAGCAATTTCTTTATAAGGGAGTGAGAAATACTGTCAGCAGTTTCCCCACAATACCTTGATAGAGCTTTAATGTTAAATGACAGAGTTTTGGTTTATATTACAGCTTTCAGCAAAACAAGTTCTTGCAAAGTTTTGGTTTTTTTTTTTTAATAATTTTCAATTCTCCTTCTATCTGGTCACCAGCTGCATAGCCCTTATTTGTACAACTTGTAATAATCACCTTTTACACAGACACATGTAAGCTTAGTGAAGAAATGACTGATGGAACATACAAAAATGAATCCTACAGAAGTTGTCCCAAGTTCTCCAGTGCTAAGTCAAATATTTGTTGTCTTAACTGCCTTGACTGGGTGTTTTTATAATGAAATTTTTTTTTAAAAAAGCTCCCCCACAAAACCTGACATAATTTAGAAAAGTTCCACAATACTTCCAGATTAGCAATGTCTTCAAGATGCCACCAGAATTGTGCAATTCCTGTGTTCAATCAGCAGTTTAGCTGTGAGTCTGTTAGTCACCCCACACTTACTTGATCTCTCTTAAAAGG